AATAACTGAAAGCTATACAAAATAATTGTAAAAATTCTATAAAAGATTACGTGACATATGCTTTCATACAAAAGATAGCCAGGTACAATTTCCAATCCAATTTAAACCTGTGGTGGATTATCATCCGCCACCTCTTTCTAGTGTCCTGAAATTTGTTAAAAATAAGGGGTGAGCGTAAAGCTCGATAGAAGTTACCTAAGGCGTTAGTTTTGAACTCCCTTGAGCCGAACAACATATAATGGAAGTGAAAGATGTCGGGATCATGCAATGGGGATTCATACACCATAAACAACTTAGCAAGAAACAACTTCAACATTTGTCACAATTCCACCAAATGGTATGCATGAAATGGAATGTGATGCACCCGTCCCAAATCTGGTCTATACTGACCCAAATCACACTTTTAGAAATCCACTAACTGACTTTACCGAAGTGAGATGGATAACTATCCCCGGTTCCAATTTTGGCAATGTCTGGCAACCGTTGAAGGGCCTAGTATCAACTTTTTCACTCCCTAGACCGAGCCGCGCTCCCTCTAGGTCAAGCTAGCCCCGAACTCGCGAAATCCGGTTCATTTTTTTTTAAAAAAAAAAAAAAAAACTTCCCTTCTTTAAAAGAAACTTTACTTTTCAAAATAACTTTTCCATCAAATCTTTCCCAAATTATGCCCAATTCTCATTTTATGCCATGATATGCAATATAAGAATTTTTCAACCTCAAATCACAATTTCATTATATAAGTGTCACTAACAATGTCAACCATCTTATAAAAAAAGCAATTCAAATTCCATGGCATATCTTTAAAATTTAGCATAATAAAGACTTACTTTTCTTAAATCAACATGTTCAAGAGTCCACATATAGTAAAATTAAACAAACCATTAACATAGGATTGAAACAACTCATGTTTCACATATAAAGATATTCACAAATCAACAATTTTCATTTCATAAATTCTCAACATATATAGAAAGAGGTAAAAACTTGCTCAATTGAAAGACAAAACTCAAGACATTAGGGAACCCCTACCTCAATGGAGATGAAAACCCCCAAAATACTCAAATCCAAGCCCTAATTTTGAAATCCCAATGTCGGGCTAAATGGTGCTTGGCTCCTATCAAATCGACGGCCTCAACGAACTCTCCGACTTTGCTTCACAAGGTTCTACCAAATTCCCAAAGGAACTAGGCTTAATCAAGCCTTGAAATTGAATAAAAAAAGAAAATGTGAGGAGAGAGAGAGCTGTCGGGAAGAAAGAGAGGAAAATGAGGCCTTGAATGGCCTCTTGGCCACTAAAGAAAGTGAGTGGGGAATGGGCCCTACCACTAACTCAAAATATCCTACTTTTTTTTTTTTTTTTTTTTTTTCTATTTATATATATATATGTATAAATAATCCCACCCACACCTCTTTAACCCACAACAATACAATTAGGCATAAAATAAATATGCATGGAATGCAAATAGACCCATGACACAACCCCAGTGCACAACAATTCCGGTAGTAAGTCCCACCCGGGACCTTTCGGCCCGAAAAACAGAAAAATACCGAAATGACAACCATTGCATTTCCAAGAGTCCTAAACTCAAGAAAATGCCCAAATCAACTCTCGGACACTTCCGGCACACCCCACGGTGTCCGGCACGCAAAATCTGAAAAGACAAAAATGCCCTTGCAAAAACAGAAAATTCCAGAAAAAGGAAAATGGCGAAAATCAGAAACATTACATAACCACCAATCTGAGAAGGATGAAATTGCATTATTCGTAAAATCAAAATGAAGAGGAGTCAATTTCCATGTCTGAATGGAGTGAGGACACCTGAAGAAAAAGTGCTGAATGTTTTCCTCCTCAAAATCACAACGGGGGCAAATCACATCAACATTGAATCCTCTACGAAGGAGCATAGAACCCAAAGGAAAGGCCTCACGACAACATCGCCACAAGAAATGATTAATTTTAGGATAAGTTTTACATTTCCAAATCACCTTCCAGATTTTACTACCATGATTGACAAAATTTCCCTGCAAATAGGAGTTATCAAGCAGAGATTGAGCCAAGTGATAAGCGGATCTAACCGTAAAAAACCTAGACGATTCTGGGGCCCAAATTTGTGTATCCTTTTTATTGCGGACACTAAAAGGACACTGTGAAATAGCCTTCACCTCATGAGGCAAAAAAATTTGTTGAAAGACATCTTGTTTCCATGAATGCTGCTGCACATTAATAAGGTCTGCCACTCTAACAAGATGGGCTTCAACTTGTCTAAAAAGAAGCGGGTCTTGTAAGCATGGAATCCACCTATCCTTCCAAATATTAATTAACAAACCATTCCCAACTGACCACATAAGCCCTTTACAAATCAAATCTTGTGTTGACCAAATACTTCTCCATTCCCAGGACCTAGCCTCCAAGAAAGAAGATGAGGAGAAGTATTTCACCTTGAGAAGTTTATAAGCAAACCCTTGTCTAGTTACTTGAAAATTCCAGCCATATTTTGCCAAAAGGGCATAATTAAAAGCTTCAAAATTACTAAATCCTAAACCCCCTTGCTCTTTGCTGGCACAAAGATCATCCCATTTAATCCAATGCACTGAGCGAGCCTGTTCTTTTTTACAGACCCACTCCATTTGACTTGTTAGTTTGGGGCATTGCCACTATACAAGTTACTGTTGAAATGGCAACACTTTCTTTTTTAACCCCATATAAATGACTTTTAGGCACTGTCCTCGTGGGAATGGTCTCCATGATGCATGCTGGTTCTTCTTCTTTTTTGTTTTTTTCTTTTTTTTTTCTTTTTTTTTTCTTTTTCTTTTTTGGTTCTGACAAAAAGTTGCAAGGAAGACTCTAAACACTCTAGTAAAAGCAAATAGCGCTTGATCACATACTTTTTAATTAATGAATCTGTTATATTTTAAATAAGGAATAATTCTATAAAAATGGAGTTTTGGAGGTCAAATGACAAAATAATGAAGTTAAAATCAAATTTTCTAAATTAATGAAATTTTATAAAAGTCTGACGTGGACATGAAAAATTACTGTACATCATTTTTTTTTTCCGAAAATGTCTTTCTATAGTCGTTATGAAATTATGCTAGTACCCTCTCATATCTAGAGAGAGAGAAACCCATCTATGTCAATACTTTCAAACTTTCCTTCTCGGACAGCTCCTCTTTCCTTAAACTCCCAAAACAAACTGTCAAAATCACCGAAAAACGACGCGATGGAGCCATGATAACTGACAGCACTGCCGGATGTAATGCCCAAGCCCTCACCGACGTCACCAAGTCCAAACCAAACCCTAGAAATTAAGAAATTTTATATATATATATAGGTAGATATTTGCTACTTTGATACTATAAACCTTCAAGAAAAATGGAGAGGCCTAATTCTCATTTGTGAATATTCTAATTTTTATGATTTGACTTGGATTTCACAGACCCACTTGAAGATTTCTTGTGGATCCACAAGCGTTTGCATTAACCTTTTGTATTGTCAAACTGTGGATCAACCATTACAGAGAATTGGGTTGGTTTTTTCATTATGTTTCATGTTGAATTTTTTAATCTCAACTTGAATCTTGATTTTCTTTTGTCTAATATGGATTTTGGGTTTAAATATGGTTTGGAGGAAAAGATGTTTTGGAGGGAACGTGAGAGGGAGAACAAAAATTTTTATTTATTATTTATTTTTTTTTAAATGGGTTTGTTGATAAGGTGGGTGAAAGAGAGAGATGACAGATAGGATTGTTGGTTGTTCGTTTGGAAATTAGGGTTACCATAGATAAGTTTCTCTCTCTAGATATGAGAGAAGGGTGTTTTGGGAATAAAAAGATGATGTACAATAAATTTTCATGTCCACGTCAAACTTTTATAAAATTTCATTAATCTAGAAAACTTAATTTTGACTCCATTTTTTTATCCTTTGACTCCCAAAATTCCATTTTTATGGAATTATCCCTTTAAATAATTTATAACTGTTCGTAATTTCAGTTCTTACAAAAGTTTAATTACACTAAATTTTGAATAAAACTCTAATTACAAAAGTTTAATTCTTATTTTAAAAAATGGTATTAAAAAAAAAAAAAAAACCCTATTGATTACCAACAGGTCAGTGGCCTAACAATACCAAATTCCTACTTTTCAAAAGAAAGTCAGGGGTTCGAGTTTTGGTGGAGGCAAGTATGTGTGAATACCAACTAGAAAAAAATAAAAAATAAAAAACTATTAATTCATTGCTCAGTTGGAAGAAGATTTCCACTAAAAAAATAAATAAAATGATAGGCCTCATCAGTGTTTAAAAAGAAAATGCATATTGGGGAAAAAAAGAAAAGAAAAAGGAAATGCATAATATTTAAATAATCTCTTCAGTCATAAATTATTTAAAATTTTAATTCAAACATTTAAATTCAATCTTTTTTCGTGGATGAGTAAATAACGGTTTCTATTATTTTACATGCTTAGGGGTATTTTTGGAATAACAAAAAACGTGTAGCATCACATAGTTGGCACATGTTTTTGCAAGGGTAATTTTGTCACTAAAAATATTTTGTCAATGCAAGCAGCCCTAAACTAACAGAATTGAGCAATGTGATGTGATAACTTTGTAATAGAGTTGGGTTTTAAAAACTCATTGAAATTTTATGATCAAAAATTAAAAGTAATAGGAATTTTATAATTTTAGCCCTATAAAAAATGAAAAAAATTGTAAGACACATTGTACTATATAGATACATAGAGAGATTAACTTAGTCATTCTGAATGCGATTATTGAAATTTTGTAGAATTTCTCCCAGTTAAACAAAAATTAACTGTAATTTGTAAAAACTAGTGGTGACTTTTGGATTGCAAACCTTCTGGAATGTGTTGATATTTTGTAAAAATAAATAATGAGTGCTTCCATATTGATATATGATTATTTTTCTCCTCTCCTTACCCATTATTTCAGTATTGCAAGATAAGTTAGGTGAAAACACCATTATAATCCACCCCTAGTTTAAGAATTCTTAAGAACAACACCGACCATTCACCACTCCAATCCAATTAAGTTTAATTAGTTTATTGAATTAGTTCATAACCAACTCAATTTTGCTATGCACATTCTCAAAGCTCAAGCTACATTCATTGAGATGATGGCCAACCAAATATAAAAGGATGGGATATCTATTCTAATTCACTGCAACACCCACTTATTAACTACAACATCCACTTGTCTGTGATACCGTTCCATCTCCTGCGCCTGTACCTTGTGTACGTCCATATCCTACCTTGATGCCGGATGACTGCAAATGTTACATTACAAAAAAAAAATTCAAAAATATGATACCACCTTTTCACTCTGATTTCATAATGGTAATCACCTGATTTTATAATGGTGTTTGTCTGGAATAAATACGACAAGTGATGACAATAAAACAGAACTCTAATGATATATCAATAAGAAATATACATTTAATTTATGTTTTAATATCAAATATGCCATTTAAACTCAAGACTTAATATGTTACCTCGTTGGATACATCAAAAACGCCGTCCTTGATATTCTGAAGTATCTTTGCAGCCGTTTGTATAAAGGCCTGTAAGATACTATATTATATTAGTTTTAAACATGTAAACACCAAATGAAAGCTTTGTTTTACTTTGGTTGAGTTACATCACCTCCTCAACATTTTGGGCTGTTCTTGCAGATGCCTCCAAAAATAGAAGCCCATTTTCCTTTGCAAATTGTTCCCCTTCCTCTTTGCTGACAGCTCTTCGGTGTGCAAGATCGGACTTGTTCCCTAAGAGCATGATGGTCATATTGGGGTTTGCATGCTGCCGAGCATCTTCGAGCCAGCTTGCTAGATGATTAAATGTCTCTCTCCTGAAGAAGAGAACATCTTCCTGATCTAAGTCAAACACACTCCAAAATGTACCAAAACAAAGAATCATAGTGGATGGAAGCTCAAATTGTAGGCGGCATGTAGGCAGGTGTGATCATGTCTGGGAAGAAAAAAAATTCCAGATATTCCCTGATGCCAAACCACTGGAGCTATATCCACCACTTATATAGAGTGAGCCCAACAGTCCACTCGGATTATAAATAATTAGCTCAGTGAACAAAAAATGGCACAGGCTATAACAATAAAGCCTACGAGAACTTTTGGAAGCATATCCATATACCATTCACTTTGTACATATAAATGCAGATGATGGCCTTGCAACTTACATCGACAATCTGTAATCTAAGTAACCAAACCGAAATGATTGAACCTGGTTGCCATTGTTAATTCTTACTAATGTTAATCACACACGGCCAATATGTTGTCTGGCCAAAAATAATAATATCTTGATGCTCTTTGACAAAAAATTTAACCTATGTTTATGTGGGCATGTAAGCACATGTGTGTTTGGTTGAGAAGGGGTTAGCTCTGTTTCAATAGTAGGGTCACTTGGGGATATAGAAACATTTTCCCGGCCTCAAGGGAGCAAGTCCGAAGTTAAGGTCTAGAAATTGCATAACTTGGGATCAACTCATTCAGCAAGAGGTTTATAAGATAATTATCTGTTAAACACACAACAAAAAAAAAAAAAAAAGGAAGAAGAAGAAACACACAAACATGCTTGTGAAAGCTCATCCATATACGTGCCTACCTCGTTATGTCATAAACTAGAAGTGCCCCCGCTGCTCCTCTGTAATACGATCTGGTGATGGACCTGAAGGATTCTTGACCGGCCTAAAACAAAGCCGAGGTTCTTGGCTTATAACACATAGATATGTATACAAAAACTAATATTCAGTGCAAGTGAAACGTTGATAAATCAGGAGCTACAAGTTAATAACAGTAAAGTATCATCATCATCCAGCATTCCACAACTTCTGCATTGTTTGAGAACATAAGGTTCCAATGACAGGCATTATATGCATGCAACTAAAATATCAAACAATTTTGAGTGCGCGAGTGGGATGCAAGAATGGACTCAATTCAAAAATGATAAAAGACCCAAAACTGGAATATCAGATACTTTATCAAAATAAAATTAAATTAAATAAACTGGGAAATCTGATAAACTAAAAGCTAAAGAAATGTTAAGAAATCAAATAGAAGAGGCACTGATGAACCAAAATCTGCCATACTTTTAAGTTTATTATTTGGATCTCAATTATAGAAAATTTCCAAGGTTTCGCACTCACTAATATCATTAGAGATCAGACAGTTGTTTGATCGTGAAACAACTAAGTAACAGATAACTCTGGTTGGGGTGAACTCAAGTTGGACATGAATGGGAACAGTCTTTAATCCAGGGGCTATGAATGTTCAAGGACAGTTAGAGCAAGCAAAAGCACTGTGAGAACATATGAATTTAATGGGAGAAGAAACACTTCCTCATGTTGTTTGAAAAATGGAACCATTAGCCCTAAGAGAACCCAAAACAAAAATGTGATCATATAATAAGGTAGGAGTTCAATTATTAATGCTATAAAAATCAACAATGCAAGAGACTGGTTTGTCGGCTAAAAGAGGGGCAAAGAGGGATGTAACATCTAGCATTCTGCAACGGGAATGCCAAGACTATTCAATTGATTTGCTTCGAATTGGATCTTATGATTCTGGGTTTAGATTTAGATTATTTGTTTTGAGAGGCTTGCATTGGCATATTTCTAAACTCTCTCTCTTCCTCATCTCTCGTATAGCTTTCCCCTATATCAATACAACTGTTACCCATATCACCATACTTTTAAGCATGAACTTTCAACGTACAGATTTGTTAATTTTCAGAAAACTGACAACCAAACAAGTTTCTGTATAGTTTTTTATTTTATTTTTAATTTCATTTCTCTGAAAACATAAAAAATTGAACCAAATAGTCTAATAGCTGCTTATTGTTTAATTTCACAAACAGATCTAGTTTTTCTTTGAATTCAAGCTCCATCCACTGCTGCCAAGACTAAAGACAAGGCCACCAACATCGATTTGGACACGACCTCCAACTTCTTTGGCGTATGGCAAAACCAACTGTGGCGAGATCATGACCAAGGCAACCGCACCACCCCGTCCTACGTCTAACTGGATGGCATGCAAATTATAAAGTTGAGAAGCCTTGACCTTTAAGGAAAATGTTATAAAACCATAAACCTCAAGCATAGCGAGTGTAACTTTGTAATACAAAGAAAACTTTCTGTATTTTCCTCTAACTGGAACGCAGGGTAAATTACTATTGTTGTGAGGATGGTTTTCATGCCTAGGATCACAAATTTTCATGCCTGGGATCATAGCAATATGCATGATTTAAGAAAGTGTGTCAACGTCCATGGAGAAGAGATACAGATCAAAATTCACTATCTGAAAGAATTAGGACTACAAGAGCACTCAACATCAAAACTCTTAGCCATCTTTCTCTATTACAGGTTATTTAATCATGCTTTAAGAGATTAATTATACATTTATAACTGACTGATGGAGAACCGGGCCTGGCCGAGAGCTTGAAGACCACATGGCCCACACCTACTACTGGAGATGTGGGAAAGAAAGATAGAATTATGGGATATTTCAGCAATTTAGGGTTTTATTTATGGTAATAGGCTGATTAGGGTTTTTCTTTGATGTCTATTTTATATGTTGGTTCAGACATTCTGAAAGTTAGCTTTGATGATTGATTATTGATTATTATTCAGAAATAATTGTTTTTCTTCTCCCTCAATTCTGATTTCTCTCTGTGATTCTTCTCTTCTCTCCTACTGGCCAGCAGTTCACATGACTTTCTCCTTCAAAATCCACGCCTATTGGCCCTTTGCCTTCTGGAAAAGTCCCCATTTACAGTTAGAGGTTATTCAGAAGAATCAAATACAAATAATCGATCTCAACAAAATGCACTCTAAGAGCCAGATCCATGAAAACCACAAAAATTAGTGAAATTGATACCTTTGACGTGTCAAAGTCATGAATTGAAGGGACAAGAATGGAAATTAACCTAAATTCTTGACTAACCTGTCCTACCTAATCCTCATGGAACAAACATCGGGAGCAATCAAACCAGGTAAGGGTAGGTTAGTGAGGAAGTACGCCAACCTGACCCAGGTTCAGGATTGCTCAGGATAAGGTAAAACCTGCACTACCCTGCCCAATTATGCAAATAAATTTTTTTTTTTTTTCGTAGTTGGTACTCACACACACTTGTCTCTTCTAAGACTTAAACCCCTGACCTCCCTTTGAGAAGTAAGAGAGAGATACCGGCATACCGCTAGGCCACTAGCCCGTTGGTAATTATGCAGATAATTTACAATAACCTCTTAACACACTTATTAATTCTTGAAATCTCATGTTGTCCTTTACTTGCATGTAAATCCATTTGGCATTTCAGTTGTATCTATATATATTTACTTCTGCAGAATGGTGAATATTAATTTTCATTTGAGCTTAAGCAAGCTCGCAAACACAACTACAAAAGTAAAGGTAAATAAACATCATAGAAAATTTCACAGTCCAGTACAAATTTGATGTGGAAGATAAGTCAATATGAAGTAACAAAAACTGTGAAAATTGACTGATTAAATGTAAAGAATATAAACATGTCTCAACTCTCATATCAGAAGGAAATTAAAGGTAAAGGGCATCTTCCTATATAAAAATGAAGTGCTTCCCCACTCACCAATGCTAGCAATCAGTGCATGTGCTTTTGCATGCCAAGTTTAATAATAAAAGTTATTTAAAATTGAAGTCAAAATATTCTACTCAACTCAAATCAATAGAGCCTTTTCTAAGTCCAAAAATTCAATAGGTAATAAAATAATATTCATTTGTTGATTTGTTCTCACACGCCAAAATTTTTAATGTTACAACTTACAACTTGTCCCTCAACCTGCCTCCACCCCCAACAGCTTATGCCTTACCCCTCTCCACTGAATAGCAGGTTCAGGATAAGTTGAGAGAAGATTATCCTTTTCTCGGATGGGTCCAGAAGACAGTCCCAGGCCAAAACTGCACTGCTGCTATTCCTAGAGGCAGATTTTTCACTAATGGTTTGTGAACAATATTAGAGTATGCCTCTAGATCCCATGGATTAGGTATCATAGTTATCACGCATCCACTGTCTAATAGTATGCGAAAATGATGTAATATTGGCTTCGGAAATGAGCTTTGTATAAAACATCAGAGAAATAGTCCTCCTATTCTAAAGAAACTAGAAATTTATGAAGACTCCATAGAAGGAGTGTCTTGGTTGCTAGAACAATCAAACAAACCACCATCCATCTGCAAATCCAACAGTTACGGAAGTCAACAAAATCCCAAGAAAGCACTCACTGTTCCAGAAAGACAAATTTATATTTAAATTCATCATTAAGACAGATTTAATATAAATTTGGTCATTTACAAATTGCCTTTAAACTGGATCCAACAAATATTCCCCAAAAATACAAAATTATATTTAGATCTTCTTCTCTCTTCTTTATTTTAAGCATTTCATGCGCTCGAAAAATTAAAATTAAACAAACTTTTGAATTATTAGATTAAGATGATAACTATAACAAATAAAAGATTCCATAACGAACGTTTACTCCTACGTTCCAAAATTTAAAATAAAAATTGCAAAATTACGTAAAGGTAAAGCAGAATATATAACCACTCTGATGTTCAACACATCAACTTATGTTATGTTTATGTATTCAAGCAACATATCATTAACCTTATAAATTTAAAAAAAATTACAAATAATCAAGCAAAAATAAATATATAAAAGGTTGAAATCAAAGAGTGGTGTAGAGTAAGTAGTAATTACAGTGTCCCAAATCTGGAGCTTAATGGGCCTTCCATCGATTGTGACCATGCGAGCACCGAATTCGACTCCTATTGTGAGATCATGTACTGGTTGAAACCTCTTGTCTGTAAATTGCAACAGCAGACAAGATTTTCCCACTCCTGAAACTCCCAAATAAACCCCCAAATTTAAACACATTAGGTACTTACCAATATATGTATAAACATATATATTACACATGAAGATTCTGAACATTAGACTTCCATGACGAATAATAAAAAGGAGAAATTAACATCAAAGATTCCGATTGAAAAGAGCAGAAAGTTCGGACCTGTGTCTCCGATGATTATGTACTTGAAGAGATAGTCGTAAGACATTTCCGATGTACGCCGTCGACGAAGATGAAGAAAGAGATGAGGTTATGGTTTGGAAGAGTTTGAGATTTGAGATGCTGCAATAAACGTGTCGTGTGCGACTGTGCCGCCTGTGCGTCTAGAAGTTAGAGAGAGGAGAGAGAAAGCGCGGAGGAGGATAAAGAAATACAGTATGAGATCGACACGCTAAGATTGCTTGAGAGTCGTAGTTCTGGATACGTACAAGTCTGTTTTATCTTCTTTATGACATTATAATGTGATTAATTGATGCAGTTTTGAATTTTACAATTAAACATAGAATAACGTTGATGGAAAGGAAACTTTTGCTATGCTTTTGTGCAGTTCGAGTTTGTTGGGAGGGGATGTCGAACTCAAGACCACGAGTGGAGGGCAACGAGTTTGATCAATTTTTCTTGGATTTAGTAAATAATTTTACAATTATGGTTTGCTTACATTGAAACAATTATGGTTTGCTTATATTGAAAATTTTCAATAATTAAGTTGGATAAACTTCAACTCCATCTCCAATTTTAATTTTATATATATATTATTTATTTTAAATAAATTAATTATTTATTTCAAATTATGATTGGATTGGTCTAGTTAGTGGTCCATTTATTATTAGGGTAAAGTAAAAAAAATATATATCAATTATCACATTATGTTGCAAGATGTCTAATACTTAGACTATTTTTTATTAAATGACCATAATACCCTTTCTTTTTGAAATACACTTAATTTATTTTTCTTATTGAAATAAATTATGAAAAAAACTCATACTATATTGATAACATATTCTCTATTAAATTTGCATAGATTTATTTTTAATTTTTTATATTAATTATTTAAATTAAATTTGCATAGATTTATCTTTAATTTTTTATATTAATTATTTAAATAAAAATCTTAAGTGAAAATTTTATAACAATTTAAGTAACTTCTTATTTTTTATGAATATATTGCATGAAAAATAAGGTATTTTTTAAAATAATTTATTAATTTTTCATGAATATATTGTATGAAAAATAAGGTATTTTATGGTAAAAAAAAAAAAGTTTAAAATAGTAAGTTTTATTATAAATAGTATAGTTTAATTATAAGTTAATCATATTATAAAATTTAATTATAAATTTTTTTTTTCTATTATTATGGTAAATTGATATTAATAATAAAATTAAGGTAAATTGTATAATTAATATTTAGATGAGAGAAAATAAAATCAAAATAATTTAATAAGAAATGACAAATTTAATGAGAAATAGTAAAATAGTATTTTGTGATTGGTTTGCCCTTAATTGCAACAAATTAATAGTTTAAAGAGGTCATTTTTAGTTCATTGAGGTTATTTACAAAAGGGCAATAGTTTAGGGGAATTTTTTTATGTTTTACCCTTGTTGTTATACCATAGGACGTGCCTTAAACACAACAAGACAATTAGAAAGTAATCTCACATAAAATATTATGTAAGGAATATTGTTTATATGATAAATTCAGCGTCACAATGGAGTTGTAAGTCCCCAATTCAATTTGAGCTAAAAATAAAAAATAAAGAATAGGTTGGAATTGGGTTGGTTAGCTCAGGTTAAACGTCATAAGAACTAAAGTCTAAATTGTAACGCTAGCACGTTCAACTTACCAAGTTACACTTTTAATGTCCATGATAAAGAAGGAAGGCCAAATAGAAACAAAGTAATATTTTTTCATCCTCGGCCAAATAGATAGGTGAGAAAGGAGAAAAATTGCTTCATAAATATGAAACATCATTTTTACCTTCAACAATTTACCAAATTACTTAAACCCTAACAAATAATACACATTTCACTTAAAAACATAGTAGCAAACCTATCTGATTTTAGATGCATATTTGAAGGAGCGCAAACATCAATGGACTAGTGTGACTTATTGAATTTGGATTTAATTTTTTTTTGGGGATTGCCAGTAGTTTTATTTTTTCTTTCAATAATCTGTCATTATTATTATTATTAAGACAATAAGTGTTAGATATTAGATTAGTATATGTAGAGGGTTGAAATTACATCAAGATCTACGGATTTACGGGAAGCACTAATTCACCGGACTACTGAGGCAACTTACAATAATATGTCATTATTGAGTCTATGTTGATACTCAATTATAACACAAATCCCTTCTTCTTCTTCTTCTTCTTCTTCCTTTTTTTTTTTTTTTTTTTCTTTTTTCTTTTTTCCCACTGATTTTAATGGTTTCACATTACAATTTGGTTCCAATTTTTATGAAACCACAAAAACGGTTTAGCTCCAAAATATTTAATAAATGGTCCAATCCAAAACACTGAGCTGTGCAATATGGGAAGTGACCCTGGGCTTTCATACAGCTTGGTGACATAATCTTGAACTTCTAGCAAGGATGGGAAAACTTCAACAGTTGGCATCCAGACACGTTTGGACAAATAGTTTGCTTCTATGTTCTTAAGACGTTCATAAATAAGTGGTTCAAGAGAATGAATATAACAATTATAAGAGAATCAAAGACATTTTTTTCGCGAATGTGCATCAGTTCTATATCTTATTTTAGGAAATATAGGAAAATAAATAAAACATCATATACTTATAAATTCGTGCATGTAACATTTTACCAAACAATTATACATCCTCCATGGGCAACCAACCGACCCACCGACATATGGGTCTTATCAATATATGGGCACTTGCCAAAGTTGGCTCCAGAAGTGCCAAAGAAAAAATTATGTAACAACTCGACCTAGTTTGGTAACGACCTAGTTTGGTAACGGATGGAATGAAAATTATTCCGAGGGATGAAATTCTTGACCGCCACCACAATCTGCCACTGCCGCCCTCCCCTACCACCGCCAACGCCTCCACCGCTACCACAGCCACCACCACTGCCATCCACCATCACTTAGAATTGTGATTATGAGTTCATTCTAACATCATTTCATATTTGCAACCACAAAAGAAAATGAGAATGACCATTTCATTCTCATTCTCAAATTCATTTCATTCCTGGGTAACAAACTAGGCCTAAGAATAAGTCAAAATGCAGCAACGCCCAAACAAACAGCATACCAAAAAGGTACAAGGTGCAATATTTGCTTCATTGTTTCCAACGTCATTTTCAATCAATATTTTGTAATTTATTGTGTAGGTAAATAGATTAATAAACAGCGTGACATACAGCCGAAAAAAGCAGCGGCAAATTGAACAGAAAACCCAATCCTAACAACCTCCTTTAAAGAAATCCTTGCCTCCCAGGTCCAATTCCAAACTAACTTTTGGGGTTGCCAAATGCTTAGACCAGCAGTTCCAAATAGAAGAAATAATCTGAATAAAACAATGTACAAAGAGGAGTTTTGACCACTGGCTAGGAGGATTTTTTTTTTTCAAATTTTTTGCACCGGCTATGAGGAATTAAAGCACCAAAAAGAACTGCTTAGTAGAGCTTTATTCTGGTTTGGATTGGACTCCGACAAATTGGGCACGACTGAAGGTCTTGTCCACAATCACAACATGTCTGCAAAAAGAAGAAAATAAAAAGGAATCCCTAAAGGTTAATATCAGACACTCCACTTTTAATAGTAGAGGAAATGAATTTGACAGATTTACCTGATGCCCACAGCCAAAGGCCATATCTTTCGGATTACTGAGGCAAATGGGACAAACCTATCGCAAGTCAATGGAAGATATTAGCACTCTTTGCCATCGCTCAAGATCATAAAATGATGACATTGTTAACTATCTCACACGTGCACATAAATACACACAAGCATGATGATTATGACTGCCTATAGGGCCCAGCAAACCCAAATCCTAACTGTTAGGCCCAAAGGCGCTTTGAAGAAAATTTTGAGTTAATTCAGGCAGAACTCTGGCTATTCATAGCTCAGCCAATTCTAAAATAACGGAGGTTTCGTAGATTATTGTATGATTATTAATTCATTTCTCAGCCTTAAAAGTTGCAGGCTAACCATTAGCGCCTCTTGTCTCTCGCAGCACACCAATCTGGCCCGCAACGGTAGTAATTACTTGAACTTGTGAATGAGTTTCATTCACCCCTTGAAGTTAACAAAGAGTTGTTTCCTTAGTTTAGGAAGAGAGGCTTTAACAGACTAAACTCGGGTTTGGGAAGATTTGGCAAAGCTTGGGCAGTCATGCGCCCGGCTCGGAACGGCCTGATGACAGCCTAATTATAATTAATAACACCCCCTTCTTGCCTCTCCCCAAAATACACAGATGAATATTAAAGTGACTTCAACGCATTCAAGCAAGTCCTGTTTAAATATCCTAAATAGCTAGGACAACAGCAACAACCAAGCCTTTTCCCAACTACATGAATCCAATGTTTCCATTCCGCTCTATTTAAGGCTATATCCTCGGTCAAACCACATGCCATCATATCTAAATAGATAAGGTAGGTACCTGGTTATCATAAGTAGAAGTTGGAGCAGATGGAGCAGTGCCTACAGGACTGCTGTGGCCATGATAAGGAGAGGAGCTCTGCTGAAAACTAGTTGATTGAAAAGATTTTGAACTGCAAAAAGAAGCAGCACCATACACAGGAGGGGGTAGAGGAATCCTCTCAGGAGCATTCCCTTTCCGACCACTGCTGAGGCAAATAGAAGATAATGAATGACAATTGAAACTCTTTTCCACTAGAGGTAATTAAAGCATGCATAATAATTAGAGTAAACCCATTAATTACCCCAAAATATTTAGCTCTATTGTTGCTTTGTATTGAGAAGGAATTTCCATCAATGCTGCAAGAGCAAACTCTGTCTCTTTCCGTGACGGGGCCACATTCTTTAACATAATTTCTGTAAAATTCACAAACTGAAGAGGAAGAGAAATTCAACTTCTCAATAAAGTTCACAACAATAGTATGTAACAAATGAGGCTGGCAAATAAAATGCCATAAGCTCCAAATGCAACTATTACTTACCTGGAAATTATCGAAGGCACGGGCAGGGATGTTATCATCGAATTCCCTCATCATGTCCCAGGGCCCATCTCCTACCCCAACTAAGATAATAGATAGTGGGAACTTGCTGTAACAAGAAAAGAAATTATTATTATTAAAAAACAAATATAAATGGTTCAGCAAACGGACAATAATTGGAGAAAACAAAGCCAAGTCCGAACACACCTTGCTTCTACAATTGCTTCGACAGTTTTCTGCTCCTGTGGACTTAACTGACCGTGCTCAGTATCAACACTTCTAGTTACCTGTCCCAACACACATGGATGAGACGTACCACATGAAACATAAGAAATACACTAGAATAACCTGGACATTGTAAGGCAAGCCACACAATTTGGAATCATAAGAACAAACATAAAGAGGATTTGTACTAAGTTTTCATCATATTCTATTTAAAAAAATGTACTACAACATTAATGTTTAACCAAGTCAGTTTCTTAATTAATCAGTAATAATAGTAAGTTATAAATAAATAAATAAGGTAATTCAAAGAACAAAACAGCAAGATAATCTGATTGATGAGCTTCATTGGCAGTATTAAACCCCACAAGTCTGTAAAAAAATTTCATTATATAGGCAAAGAAGAAACACCTAAATATATGAATTAAATAAATGAATGAAGAAACATCAATGACACGCTTCAAACTTTGAGAGACTACTTCTCAGTTTCCATTAACGGCCTAAATTTTGTACAATAAATTAGAGTATTTTATTTTAAGTTTGAGGTGAAATTATAAAATTAAGAGAAGGGGGGAGGATAAATCAACCAACTTTATGGCATGCGAATCTCAAATCACTTCTACGCTCAGCCCCGTCCATTTCTGGTGACCCGATTAAGTTAATCGTCTATAATTTAAACAATGTAGTCAAGGGACCTGATGTCTGTCCCTCCAATATCTCATTCTTTTATGACATAAGCTCAACTGGTATATTCTCCTCCTTCCAAATGGAAGGTTAAGGATTCAAATCCCCATAAGGGCATTAGTGACTAGTGGTCACCACTCTGCTCAGAAACAGCCATGGCTATTTCAGTGACTTGTCACTATTAATAAAAGGGTAAATTACAGAAACTACCCCTCAGGTTTTTATCTCTTGCATTAAGGCAGAACGTGGCGTGATATATTGGTCAACCACCCTTGAAAACCTAACACATAACCTCCCATCTTGAGTGAGTCGCCAAATCAATGTGGGATAAAAATATTTTTGGACAAAAATAACTTTTCTATTGTGAGACAACCAAATTGTCCCTCATGTGAACTGAAATTACAGTATCAGTCGGACATAAGTACCATTCTGCTAATTGAATTTTCAGAATTAATGTTTGGATGAAGAATGGTCTGTTACTGGAAATTCAAGCACCTCAGGTTTTCAGGCAGAAATGAGCATCAAGATTCGATTTGAGTACGTATCGCAAGTGACGGAGCCAAAAGTGTTTTGTGGTCGAAGGGCATGCAGTGGGTATCTCTAAATCACCCAAGAATCCTAGGAAACTATACGTGAATATGAGCAAAGGGATCCTGTGAGTTGTGACTGACTACTTTTCATTTTGGAAGCCTGAAGGAGAAGTTGGGCAAGAAGCAACCTATGCTGCAGCAATGAGGAACGTCTGCTCCATCAAACCAATCCATATTGTCGTGTTTGGAATTGTCAAGACAATGGTTTGGGAAGAAAATATTCTAATAAAAGAATCAAGAAACAATCACACTGGACAGAAAGAAGGCACTTTTCCAATAGTGAGGGTTATCATCAGCACTTATCAATAGGAAAATATCATTTGATTTCAACGGCAATGTTATTTTAGCAGTAGTGGAATTGCCTCAACTTCCAACAAAGAGAACTCATAACAGGTGAGAGAGATAGAGAAATCATTTAACAAACTTCTCCACAAGAATACAAGATCCAATTTACGGTAAAGATTGGAAAAAAAATCATATTGTACACACACATATGGGAGCCAATGGCCAAAGTAATAATAATAATAATAATAATAAAGGGATGAAAACACCCGCACACACATTGCGGTCATAGAATTGAAAGAATGATAAGCTCAATTAAGTGTAAGAAAAGGTAAAAAAGAGAAAATTTGAATCTTGCTTGTCTCTGTTATCAAATAAACCAAACAAAGCATTGATTTATATACATATGTATTAGAAAAACAGTTATTTTTTTGTTGCAAGAATATGATGACATGAATCCATATATATATATACACACACACACACATATATTAATATATACATAGAGAGAGAAAGAGAACCGTCAATCGGAATGGCTATGAGAATAGGGAACAATACAGTAAACCCATATTGGAAAGAAGCATGCGTTATCTACGAGGGGGGGCAAAAACGTAACTTAATAATACCATATCCCTTCTAGATTTTTCCTTTAAACCAACCCAAGGTCATATAGGTAAATTCATGTTGATGCACTAAGGTCAAATGGTCAACTAGGACCTTCCCGTTATATCGCGCCTACTTTCATATTACTGCACAAGATGAAAACTTGGAGGGTACTTTCTGTAATTTGCCCTTAATAAAACATTGCACCGTAAGGCCATCTTTTTTAATTTCAACAGCAGTGTAGTCCACTGACCAGGATATTCGCCCTCTAATATCTTACTAAACAACGACTAATAAATTAAAAGACAAATACCTGTCCATCTGCAATTATTACTAAAACATGGTACTGGCCACCACTCTGCTCTACAATAGTCATAGCCATTTCAATGATGGGAGCAAATGATGTTGGTCCTGCAGCAAATGACAAAGAAGCATAAGATATAAGAACCAATTAGCTGAACAAGACCATGGCTGAGTAGAATTCAAACCTGCAAGTTTTAGATGAGGGACTATTTCCCTGTACCGACTTAAAACCTCCTCAAATCCATTACAAAATCTCTCATCTGGATGGAAACTGAAGACGTCTTGATCATGTGTTGATGCTGCCAAATTTTAAAGAAAATTGCAGTCCTTGTACCAAAATCCAAATTAATCAATTCTATAAAAATAATAATAACAAAATCATTAGCTCAAGAAAAGTACCATCTCCAAATCCAAAACATGGAATCAAGTTATCCTCATCAAATGCTGCTAAGGTTTTCCCAATAATAGATATAGCGTGTTGATAGGGATTTAAACCATCTCCAATGTGATGTAAACTTCGTCTGTTGAATGACTTTGCACCTGTTTACCAATCCAAGTTCAGGACGTTTCATGATAATCATTAAAAAAAAAATTATACATTCGAATGAGAAATAAAGGCCTAACCTGTCCATTCGTTACTTTTAGTGAAATCAATACCAACTATGAGATTAGAAGACTCAAGACCAGCACGTGCAAGAGCCTCAGTCACCTGCAGAGAAGATAAAATCTCATTTTAACTTGATACTTTTGTAACCACTAAAATGCTTGTAGTTAACACCATTAGGAAAAAGAAAAAAAAAAAATTTATTAACATCATTATTATTATTATTTTTTTTCTCGGAAGGTATCATTACGTTGTTGCGCCTTAAAAATAGTAACAAGTAAGCAACGTAATCGTGTAAAAGAAAAAATTAATCATCGCATCTTTATAATTATCAAAGAATCAAAGAGGTTGACTGGTAGTATCTTTTTTGCTATAGCTTGAGGTCTAGATTAGCTACTGATTAAATTAACAATTTAACGTAGGCATGTGTGATTTTTGTAAATACTATGTGGTGAACGAAAGAAAAACTGCCGGCTGCATTTTTTATTACTTGGATGACATCTCAACATGGACATGCACTGAAATTTAGTTTGCCAGGGCCACAGATTAGTTTAGCACATTCAAGAACCAAGCATGTTCACAATGTGGCTGGTTCCACAAGAATAGAGTGCCAACCGTCACTCCGTTGAAAGTTACTCCATGTGAGCAACATATTTAACATTGTTTGATTCCAACAAATGTCAAGCTCAAATATATCATTGCAAGGTGGGCCTAAAATATTAGATATTTATGATTACAAAATTCATCTTGCATAAGCAAACCTTTGTCTGCTTTCTAATCATTTTTTTACTACAATCAATCATTTGTCAAAGCGAGTGAAATCCGCAACACACTTCAGGTCTTCAGAGTAACTATTATGTTTTCTAAATGATGCATGCATGCATATATTATCTTAATGATGCATCTTTCACGTGTTCCACGTTATAAGCAAATTTAGAGATGTTGACACAAGCTGTAAAATATAATCTTACCTCTTCTAAGGATCTGTAATTATCAGCAATCCTTGAATACCTCCTGTCAAGCTTCCTCTGTGGGTCATGAGACTGACCCCCATAGTTTTGAGGAGGAGGTGGATAATTATGTTGCGGTGGAATCTGTTGGGGTGGATAAGCTGGATAAGCCTCTTGAGGAGCGTAATATGGACTCTCTTGAGGATATGAAGATTGTGGATATTCTTGAGGATATGAAGATTGCGGATATTCGTACTGACTCCGCGAAGATGAAGACGTAGATCGAAGCGACGAAGACTGCCTCCAACTCCCCTCCCTTGAACTTCTGCCCCCCATCAACTCAATAATCTACACAAATTTCCACAATTCTTAACAACCCGGCCTCTACCCTTTATGAAAAAGAAAAAAAAAAAAAAACAAACACCGAAACCAACCTATCAAAATCAATCACCAAAAAACAGAAAACCCAAAAAAACTTCCCCAATTAAATAACCCTAATTCGAAATCTTGGTATGACCTGGTTTTCAAGGATCATAAAATATAATAAAGCTTCTGTATAAATGCAAGAAAATTAATAAATGGAAAATGTGAATTCCAGCAAACCAAGAAAAAAGGCGGCGAGAGAAGACTAACTAGTATGCGTAAACGCTTCACCTACGTCAAAAGAACGCTTCACCGACGTCAATAGACCTTAACAACTAATTTTCATCTACAATTCCTTCCCAAGATAATTCTTCTGCAAATACTGCCTCTTGATTAAAAGTCACAAGACTCCAAGTTGGTGCCAAATGGCCAAACGAAGATATGAACACGCGGCACATTTATTTATACCTACCAAAAGGAAACGTATCTAGCAGAAATAACGAGCCCAGTCAAACAACAACGTCGTCGTCGTCGTCTTCGTCCCGAACTCTTAGACCAATACTTTACTTCCAAATCCCTAAATTTAACGGTTAATTGAGCAGAACCGCCAAATCTGAAATGCTGAAATTTAACCGCATTGTTCAAGATCTAAAATCTTTCTCTTCAAAACCCTAAACACCTAATTTATCTGAATCCATTCAAATATATATATATATACACACACACACAACATAACAGTATGTGAACATATAAAATGATTGATGAAATGGATCGATTGAAAACGAGTGGGTGACCAACCTTGGTGAGACATAGAGATTCCCTGCAACTTTAGAACTTCTTGCCTGAATCACACTAAAAGTATTGTTGCAGATTTTCAATGGCGAATCGGAATTGTTAGAAAATTTGAGGAAAAGGGATTAAACTTTTCCGATTTCTTCTTGAATTATAAGTTGAACAGAAAGACAAGCACATGGAACTTTCTCGCCGAATATTAATGATTGGGTGTTTTTCTTATTTTTATTTAAAAGGTCTAAAATCTACCTACTAACCCCAAGTATTAAAAAAAAAAAACCATATAACATAAACTACCACGGTACCTCCATTTCGCCATAGAACAATTAAGTTCACGTAAAATGACAAAAATATCTTTAATAGTATATTAATATTTATTTAAAAATTAGTTATATTTTTATAAAATGACAAAAATACCTTTAATAGTATATTAATATTTATTTAAATATAATTATAGTAATTATATATAATTATAATATAAAGAAGCCCTAATTTTTTACCTTGTATAGAAAGTTAGGGCTATATAAATGTAATGACGAATGGTGGCGACTACGATGAATCAAGTTCTTCACCAACCGATTGAAAAGTGCTTCCTTTATATAGGGAATTGATAGCAACAAACCAAAAATCATGGATGAGCGCCCCTGTGTGAGCTTTTACAGTTGACGAACTTAGGGCCTCTGCAGTTGACGAACTCAGGGCGATTGGGTTGTTTTGTTGTGTAGATGTGGTGGTCAAAGATTTACAACGGCGGCTGCGGTGACGATCTGAGGTGGTGGTTATGGGTGTCACATGTCCCTTCTCACTATCTCTTCTCCATCTTTCTAATTCTACAACCAATTTCAAGACAAAACCCTAACACACACCGTCAATGCCTTTACTAATTTCCTCGACGCCATCGACGAATTGCTCGCCCCCATTCATGATTGGACTCCTATGGCAGCTAAGAAGCCCGTTAAAGTGTGTCATCGTGGGTGATCATCAATGATATGCACGAGATCACAAAATGGATGGTGGCATGTACAATAATTGTATTGAATTAAATCTGACCCAATTTAATTTTAGCCCTATTTAAAAAATAGGTTTTATAAGTCGGGGGAGTTTTCGAAGCAGCAATTGTTTTTTTTTTTAAGGGAAACTTATGGTGGGATGAACCGATGAAAGGTTAGCTGGAAAGTGTCCAAACTCCAAAGTTCCAATCTAAGGAAAGAAAATTAAATATATTAGGCAGAGTTAATTACACTCACATCCCCTGGAGTTTACTTTATTGATAATCAGATGAAAAATAGCATATTTTTAAACAATGGCACCCCCTCAAGTTTGCTCCGATTGACAAAGACACCCTTATTGACAAAGACATCCTTTAGCATTCTGACATGTGATAAAATGACTAGAAAACCTTTTGACCTGTCAATTGACCCATTACAGTGTTAAAATTACAAATTTAACCTTCTAACTAATTTTAATATACCAAACTAACCTCTTCAGAATACATATACATATATGTATAGATATATATTATCTTCTCTAGTTATACTTAAACACATACATATATAATTATATATATAGAAAGAGAATGAAGAAGAGGAGGGGAAAAAGAGGATATAAACCATTTTAATCCTACTAGTATGGAGAGAAAAACTGAATAATTTTGGAAGCAAATCCTTATGCAATATAAATGGAAATTAAAATTATTTTTATATATAGTTCTTCTTCAGTTTTTTTATATTGTAAATAAATAAAAAAGCTTCCAAACACACACACACACACATATACACACACACCAAGGGTTTTGAAGAGAGACCCACATCTTTCTTAAAATAAAAAAAAAAGGTGCTCCTCTTTGGAGCAGTGAGCGAACCAGATGAGGCGATGGTGGAGGCGCCACCGACAGTGAGCGGGCGGCGAGACCCTCCATTCCTCGCCACCGTCATACCACCTTGTCTATAATTGCCGCCGCCGTCGGACCACCTCATCCACCTTCACCACGATGCCAAATGGGTTTGATTAGGTTTTATTGGTTTGATTTTAGGGTTTCGGGTTAGCATGTGTGGAGGAGGATCATTGGAGAAGAGGAGGGATTGAATGCTATTTTTTTCACCAGTATAGAAGGATTGTTGAAGAGCTTGATGTAGATGGGTTGGATTGGATTGGAGATACATAATGGGGATGTGTGTGTATGTATATATGTATGTGTGTTTGATTCCTAAATCAATTTATTTCTGGTAAATACAAACATGTGATTAATATTGTAGTGGAGATGCTGGTGGGTGGTGGAGGTTGCAGTGGGTGGTGGTGGTGGTGGGTTTTTGACGAAGGTGAGAGGGTAGAGAGAGGAAGAAAGTTTGGGTTTTTGAGTGGGGAGGTAGAGAGAGAAACCTAAGAGCAATTTCGTCATTTAAAAATTATGATATTTTATTGAAGGGTAATCTCGTCATTTTTCATCTTTTAAGGGCCTGTTTGGTTCAAATTTTTTAGAGGGGGTATCATTGTTAAAAAATACATTAATTTTCATCTGACTATCAATAAGGCAAAATAAATAATATCAGTGGTTGATGCTGATATCTGCTAAAGGATATACTCTGAAGTTCCAACTTATTATTCAAGGCTGTGTTTCAATTATTCTGCTGAAAAAGTTTTTTTTTTTTTTTTTTTTTTGGACAAGCTAAAATATTATGATGGGATGAATCGATGAAAGGTCACGGGTTTAAGTCTTTCTTGGAAAGTGTCCAAACTCCAAAGTTCCAATATAAGAAAAGAAAATTAAATAAATTAGGCATTTTTTTTAAACTTTTGACTTAAATAAAAGGTGCATTTCCTTTTTCGATTACTTAAACTTTTGATGCTGACATCTGCTAAAGGATATACTCTGGAGTTCCCACTTATTATTCAAAGGCTGTGTTTCAATTACTCTGCTGAAAAAGGGTTTTTTTTTTTTTTTTTTTTTCCGAAGCAGCAATTTTTTTTTTTTTTCCTTGGTCAAGCTTAAATATTATGGTGGGATGAACCGATGAAAGGTCACGGGTTTAAGTCGCTCTTGGAAAGTGTCCAAATTCCAAAGTTCCAATCTAAGGAAAGAAAATTAAATAAATTAGGCATCTTTTTTAAACTTTTGACTTAAATAAAAGGTGCATTTCCTTTTTCGATTACTTTTGGATTAATAAAGACTAGAGGCCTTCATATTGGGCGACCTACAACTCTACAAGTAAAGGAAAATACTCCGTATTATATATGTAAATATTTTATATTTTCTAAAGATTAATTCAATAAGTATTATACATGTATGATTTATAAATTTCAATTTGTACGATAATTTTTGAGGTAAAATTCAATAATATAATGGTTCGGATTCAAAATAAATAATATCAGTGGTGTAATAGGCAATAATTATGACAACGGTACAAAACCTTTTGGATAGAGTATAAATACGGATAGTTATTATAATTTAGAAATTTTTACATTAAACAGAAAACTAACTTATATTATATATATAATTATTTTTATATTAAAAGAAAACAAAAATAGTATTTGAATTCCTTTTTTATAATAAATTTTAATTTCCAACTTATTTTACTTTTAAAATGATAAAGAAATAAAAAATAAAAAAAACTATTAGAATACTTGTTATACACTCAGAAAGTTATTTTTTACTATTTGTGGCGACAAAAACACGTATTTTTAATGAAAATATTAATTAACTTGTTAACGACATAAAATAAATAAATTTATTGAATCTGTGTGACATTGTGACATGACATCTCAATTACTAATTTACAAATGGTAGGAAAGTGAAGTAAAAGTGATTGAATAATGATATTCTATTCACACTAGTCATCAGAAGCGCAGGGACGTCAAACAATCACTAAATTCCACGCCTAATTTTAAAGTTCTTATGTGGAAAATAAATAAATAAATTTAAAGTTCTTCAAGACAAATAAATGAATAATGGTGTTTCCATAATGTTGCGTTGAGATGTCAACTTCGAGCTTCACCGTTCAAGTTGTCCCTACAGTACGAGTAATTAACAAATTTTCATCATTTTGCATACACCAGAGTCCTCCAAGACCTAGTCTCCTAGACGACTATTATTAATGTGCATTTTGGTACAAGTTACAACTTACAATCTATCCAGAAAAGGAACAAGTGCAGGAAATATCCAATATACCCCGCGCACTTTCTTTTTTTTTTTTCTTTTTTTTTTATTTATTAAAATGTACAAAAAATAAATATAATATTTTCACATTATGCAAAATATCTCTCAATACAAAATCTGACATAAATTAGTGTTATAACACTCGTTTTACTTTTTTACTCTTCAAAAAATGCCCAAAAGGTATATGCGCCACTAATCTCATAATATAAGAATGTTATGTGTATATTTACCTTATATATATATATATATAACTATTTTCTCTATATATATTTCTAAACTGATTTTTTTTTTTTTTTTTTTTTTTTTACTTTAAAAATTTGTAGAATAAGGATTTAAATTTTTTGAGATTTCAATTTACTGTTTTTTAATATTTTTATTAGCAGCCGAAGTTGCACCACAATCACCATGCGGGGTTAATTATTACAAGACGGTTTCGGGCTTTGGACCTCAAGGCTTAAATTTGGATACGATGTGACATGTTTCCTACATATGTTACGAAGCATTCTTTCAAATATAAAAAATTTAAAATAGATATAAAAAATTATATTTTTATTTTAATAATTCGTCAGTTTATTTTATTTATTTTGTTTGGCTTAAAATGGATATAAAAAATATTCTTTTTTAGTTGGCAGTGATTTAGTGAAGGGAAAGAAAAACAAAAATGAAAGAAACCGAAATCAAATTCCCTCGCTGTCCCTCTTGCTTGCTTGCTTAGAGACTATAAACTGTTATCTTGATCATGACAGTACTGGAGCCCGAGGTATTTTTCTTCAACCATTACTACTCTAGAGAAAAGAGGAAAATTGCAGTAATGAGAACTAGAATTTGGAGAGAACAAAGAAAAGAAAAAAATAGTACACGTGTCATACAGTTATATGAAGTTAAATACGTTCCATGCATAAACATATACACGTGTCTACATTTATTTGTATGTATTACATCCAAACACATTATGAAAAGTTCTAAACCAACAATTAGAGAAGATGGTAAGCAGGAACATACAGTTGCAATTATGCATAACCTACTTCAACTTCTTCAAAATATTGAACAAAGACTTTCTACAAGGCCTTAATGATTTTCCCCTTGAAACAAGGAAAAATGTATAAATTTTCCGACAACAAAAAAAAATTCCGAAATTGACACCAAAAAAAATTTGGAGTAAAGAAAAACTCATCCTGCTTTTGATGTTCTTGATACAGGTGGTAAAGCAACTGAATTAAGATTTCCAGGATAAGGAGTCCACAAGCCTAATCCTCCCCTACTCTCTTTCAAAGTACTATTGTTCTTGAACTCATTTAAATCTTTCACCCACTCTATAACAGAAGAGTGCTCGCGTGTATGTGGGTGCAACACAAACAGCGAGTTATACTCGCAGTTATCAAACATAAAGAATTTGAACGCACCTCCTAACCTGTACACAACATATCCAAAGCTCAGCTGATCTCTTGGTGTGAAGAGGTCGACCTCATTGAACCACAAGCAACTAAACAAATTATTCATCGCTGTATGCTCACGTATGATGATGGCTCCTTCTGGAACATCTGCATTTTTGAAAGAAAAAAAAAAAAAGAAATCTCTCAATATAACATAGAATGGCAAAAAGATTATTAGAAACATTAAAGGGGAACTGTGTAGCTTTTTATCAGCATTGAAATGACAGTGTAGGAAGCAGGACTGCGCCATTCTAAATCCTACTACCTTTTAGCAAGAATTTAACCCAATAATACAGCCATGAAAATCCATGATTGCAATATCATACTAGTTACTTGTAAAAACATGTACAACATAAGGCACCCTGCCTGTCAAATTTCTACACGTGGTACAACATGAAACTATAGATTTAGATCCTGTATCAGTCTGTCATAGGCAAGAGGCTTCCGTATCCTCATTCTTTTAAAAATAATAGAAAATCTATGGAAGGAAATCCATCTCCCCAACACTAAAATGGTCGTTTTGAAGGTGCTTCAAATCACAAAGGCACATAAAAAATTGATGATGCCAGTTGAAATACAGGATAACCTCAACTTTGCCAGGCTAGAGATGCCACATGGGACCACATCCATCTGCCTTGTACAAACGAATGGCAGAATAAAAAAGATCCCCTAAACTACACCTCCTCATGAAGTGTGCATCTACGTGTCCATTCATGTACAAAAGCCATCACCCTTCCGAGTGAAGGCAAGTATAAAGTGGTACCATGATGCTTATGCTTAAATCTGCTTCAGGTCGAAATGTCAATGCACAGGAGGTCCCTCCCTCAGGGAGTGGGGTGCAGTGCTTGTCAGTGGAGTGATTCCACAAAATGTCATGGCTTTGGAATGTTCAAGCAAACTTAGCTGGCTCCTTACTCCATTTCAAATCTGGAGAATAGTAGAACATCTAGCCTAGTCAAGAAGAAAGTGAGAATCGATGTCTTCATATGCAAATGACGCTCTATGAGCAATCATGAGGCCTAATTCATGACATTCCTGTTTATATAGGCCCCACAGCGTTGACACTTAACACCATTGTCTTTAGGTCTCCGCCAAGTTGCATCACTTATCCACACCGTTCTAAGACCCCTACAAATATGCTTAACAGCACAATTAAATGGGCCAACCTAACAAGGATTAGCGTTCTCAGTTTGACAGATCCCTGAGTGGAACTCGTGATTATAAGGCCTCACTACTGTCATTTATTCACATATATATTCAGGCTGCTCCCACTCTTACCGGTCAAGCCTACTTCATGTGTGTTGATGCTGCCTATTTGTACCAATCCCAGGAAACATGCAAGGCACCCAGCCAAGAGGTTGACAGTGTGAATTAGTGGTGTGCCCGATTCGGCCTTCAAGAGTCTAGTCAGGTGTAATAGTTTTTGATCGAGAAAATAAAGATTGGGTCCTGTATTTCTTACGTGTTCCTTGACAATTGACCATAGTTAGTGATTGGCTAAGAATGTGTACACCAAATCCATTACTGTAGTGAAAGTTCATTGTAAAATTAGACCCCTTGGACACTAATCTGTTAAGTCTTATGCACCTCCCAGTGCAAAGATCCTGACCTGTCAACAACCCTCAGGGGCATATATATATCTGACCTTCACTTAAAAACCAAAAAAGCATAAGAAGAGAAGAAATGAAACGAAAAGAGTTTAGATAGTTCCTTTCTTACCACTGATGGTTTTTTTCTTTGGACTCCATGGTTCCAGTCCTTCATAACGGTATATTTTCATGTGAAGATCAATAAGAGGTCGAGCATATCGCTTCCTCCGTTTATTTGCATCAGCCTCCTCATAGATATTCCGATGGTGCTTGTGCTGAGCAATGGCAAATGTGTGCTTTCCACGCCATAAATACCTGAAAAACAATATATATATATATATATATATATATTAAAAAAAATAAAAACCCTTCATCATGACTCAAGGGAACTTAACCAACAGATCCCATTAGTTTAAAGGGAAACTTCATCAGATCATCATTAAACAACCCTTTATATTTATAAAAATGGTAGAAAAATATTGGGAAACTAAATTCAAAGATTTAAAGGTACAAGTGTGTTCCTCATCTAAGAAGGGGCACATGTTCCGTTCCAAAGCACTATGCATGATACACATGGTGCACACCAGTATTCTTGTGAACTAAATTCGACTCTTTTAGTCATCAGTATCAATTTATCAAAAAGCTTCAGTTTCACCTCATTGTAAAGCTCCATAAGAAATAATAAATAAAAAAATTTATACAATGTTTTCAGCAAAAGAACATACCTTTCCAGAATAAGCAATGGATCAACTATAAGCTCCATTTTACCATCAATCCAGATGCTGTACTGTGCTTGAGGAAATAACCTGTGGGTTAATATCTTTGGAACCTTTCCGTTTCTTCTGGGTTCATCATACGGTGGATACTTCAGAAGAATAAGCCGCCAAATGCCCACCCATTGTCCCCCATCACGGTCCTGCCTGACAGTAACATTCTTACTTATGAAGTCAAGAGAACTTTCATCCACCACCATAAGAAAGCAAAAAAGCTTTTTAGAACGGGGGCTTAAATCCAATGGCTGATGAGGTGTATCATATCCATCAAAAATGCCTGATGCAACCACAAATCTACACTTCTTGGCATATTCAATGTCTTTTGGAGCCATTTCTGCACCACCATTTCGCATAAAACCACAGTGCACCTAAAGATAGATTACGCAATTAAAACTTAGACCTAAAGTAAAGGGAAGAAGACAAGAATGCCGATACATATCTTTTCAAAATAATAAAAAAGAGTTAAAGTTGGCATTCTGCTGAGGTCCACTCAGCTTGCCTTCCCTTCCGTTTCCTTTAAAGTTGTCAAATTATAAGTCATATGCAACACATCACAAATATATATAAAGAGATTCTTTCTTAATAGTAAGTCTCTATTTTGCAAGTTGAGCGGCAAGTGATTGACATGAACTCAATACCTATTGGTTGAAAGTGAACTATTTTAAGCCAAACAGAATGCCTTATAATCGTTTGTCATTTTGACCAACCAATTGAATGCAATTCTGTTGGGTATTCAAACTACTGCAGAATGCTTCACAACAGGTTGGGACAAATCACTAATCAGTTGTACAAGGTTCTGGAGTCATTAAACTCAATTTTAGCATACTTCACAACTGATTGACAAAAAACCCAACCGGTTGTACTTGCCCCTGGAATTTTTTATCTTGTGCTCCAAAGATCTACTCAACCGGTTGGCCCAAAATCACAACAGGATGAATGTGTCTTGTACAAGATCGAAATTTTCATTTTGATAAAGGTTTTTAGTCCAACATAAACCGAACTCAAAGAGACGTCCGTTAGTGTTTTTATACTTCTTTCTCAATGTTTTCAAGGACTCTCTGCATTATAAATTCTCAGCTTTGATAAGGATTTTATGAGAAAGAATACCAGAGATTACATTGAGTATTTTGTGAGATTTTGAGAGAAAAATCAAACTGGGATTTTTCTAAATTTCATCTTCATATTGTGAGCATACATGCTCTCATTGAGTGTTTAGTGCGAAATTCATCATCTGATCGAGAGTATTGTGAGATTTTTAACAAAGTTATGCAGTCGATCAGAGAAGCAGATGCCATTCAATCTTCGCACAGAAAGCAAAGGCGGAGGTGAGTTCAATCACTAGGAGAAGCAGATTATGGTGAGGTGATTGCATTGGCGTGGATCAGTGTTGCCGTTGATTCCAAAAGGCACCGGAGTCAGAAGGCACTGAGCGTCGGAGGTAAAACAATGACAGGTGAGTCCAAAAGGTCCTGGAATCGACAACTCATGGAGTAGTTCCAAAACACTAGAACTCATACTCTCTCGGTTGTTGTGGGTTGCTTCGCCAGGGACGAATCTCCATGGTTTTTCTCGGAAAGGTTCTCCACGTTAAAAATCCTAGTGTCATCTCTCTTACTTTTCTCGTCTTTCTTTTTATTGCTTTTGTGTGACTGACTAATAGTGCTCTAATTGGTTAAAATTGAAAATAACTTTAAAATCAATCAAATAAGAAAACTATTCAAACCACCATCCTCATTCTTTTACCTGCTCAAAAGATGATCTTTAACCCTTTTGATCAAGGTAGAATGAGCTTCGTATTTGTCTTGATAAAAACAACTTTTATTCAGAGTAAGATACCGGGACAAGGAGTCTTTCCACGAAACACAACAAACAAAAGATAAGCCAGCTTTTAGTTATAGTCCTTCATAGATGTATATAATAATTTTTATTAATCAAGATCTAATAAGACAGATTAGGAACAACTATCTTAACCTCATTAATATATTAACAGAATTATATACCCCATACATCTAAGAAATGCTCAAAATTCTGCACCCTGCACTCAAACCTATCTTCAAGCTGATTACAATTACTGTTGGAGGAGAGACAATCTTCACAATCATCAATCACACCACAACTCCAACACAACTCCAGTACCAGCAGCAACTACAGTAGCATAATTTATTTATTTACTATGTAAATCAGTATTTAGACTTGTGAGATTAAGTACTACTGGGAAAACATTTTTAATCTAAGCTATTATTGCTTAGAACTATTTCAAGCAAGGGGGAAAGAAAAGAACAAGTATAGGTTTGCACCCATTTTTCTCCCAATATTTCTTGATTTCAAACAAGTACTTTTTCCCCTAACAAGTGTGATAAAAAATTTACTACTCTTTTTAGGAGATGCTGCTAAAATTACATAATATTGAAACATCTATTACTACGTAAAAACCTATATATTAAGAATCGTCCGGATTTAGAAGCTCCCATACCAGTCTATGCACATCGACCAGAAAGTATTTTCATTTAATTCATAAAAAATTAATTTTCATTTTAGAAAAACAGAAATGATATTATAGGGAAACTCACCAAAAATCTATATACGGCCCAGCAAATAATAATAACAAAGTAGACTAGATTTCATTAATGACCACCCATTGTTTAATGGGAAATAAAAATAGAGAAGAAGGGGAAAAAGCTACTGTTTTAATTGGGTTGGAGATGGCTCTATGTTTTTCACCTAATTTTTTTTTTGAATCTTCATAGTTCAAACACGTCATTAGAAAAACAAAAGTCAAAAGGAAAACCTTCATTCATTGGCAGCAACAAGAATGTGATGATATTCACTTAGCTTTGTAGTTGAGATTGATTTATAATTTTATACTCTTCTCATAAGAACATTTATTGAAACAACTGCATAGAGATGCCTCGATGTCATTTTTAGAATTAAATAAACAAAAATATAACTAGCATGAAATTGACTATATATAGAGTAGGTGTTCACCATCATCGCCGACTTAAGTTTAAAACTATCATCTCTCTGCGACCAGCTTTGATGCCCTCCAAATAGTGGAGATGACTGAGATCCATTAGTTGCTAGCTCATCCTCCATAGCATACGATAAAGTTTTAACAATTTTGTCCAGCGATCTTCTCTTCGGAATAGCTACTTTGTCTGGGTCATCGGCAACGGGAATAGGACAGCCTAATTGCATGTCATAACCAAAAAAAAGTGATCTTCATATTGAGAGATGAAAACTTAATACAAGAGAAAATGCTATATAGGCTTACGATGTGGTGGTTTTAGTCCAAATCCCATGTTGTTTAACACATCAATTACCTTGCTATCTTTGTTACAAATAGCTGTAGATCAAGCAGAAAACAGCAAAATCACTGAAAAATAAAATTTATATAATCTTGGGTAGAAAATTTGAAATCGTATGCAACATCCTGACATTTTCATTTAGCAGACACAAACATATCAATGCAAGTATTCACATTGAAAATTAGCAAATGAACTACAAATTTGTGAACCATTCTGATTCATTCAAAAAATAAATCCTCAAACATTGAGAATGGTTCCATAATGACAAGAGTTTCCTTCCCCTTCAATGCATTGTTTTCACTAACTCAATTTTGATTCCTATATATTCTTTCTACCACTAGCTCCACAGACCACGAGTTCTCTAGGTTTATGTAGATTTCAAAATTGCCATTGTCTTGCTAACCACTAAGTTTAGTTACAAAAAAAGTTGACATAGAAGAACCCCAAAGGGTTGGCCTAGTTGGAAAAGACTTGGGCACTGGTGCCTCATGAAGTATCAAGTTTGAGGATCGATTCCTCTTAGGTGCAAACAATTCCATAAGGGTCACGCCCGCGGACATAGTCTAAGCTTTACCCGATCCATGTGGAGGGGGCGCTTTGCACAGGTCCTGTGATTAGTCGGGACAAAGCCCCAGACACCCCAGCTATTGAAGAAAAAAAAACGTTGACATAGGAGGTATAACCAAAAAGTTGGGATATACAAGAAGCAATAGAAGTTTCATTCTGCGCTAGAATGCTAAAAAGCTACTGCCCGCAGGTATCCTTTATGGAGTTGGATATTCTATTCATTAGGCTGGCATAAGATTTAGTTACTTCACTATTTTTTTTAACTAGAAATATTTTCCTCAATACAAAAACCTAAAAAAAGTTTAGCATCTACATAGGCTTTGAAAAAGTAACAAGAAGCCAAGGAGTCCAGAAAAGGAAGGTATGAATGACAACTAGGAAGCACGGAAAAACCTAAAAGGGCAAAGAATCCGTGTCGGACACCAACACAAGCCTGAAACACCTCGACACGTGTCGGACACGCCAAAATATGTGTCCGAATATTTTATATTTTTTCAAATATCCGGACACACCGTGGACACGCTTCCGACACGCCATGGATACGTGTCCGACACGCGTGTCCCACTCATTGGGGATTTTTAAGTTAGTTTTAGAAACAATGTTGAGTTGAAGTGTAAATATTAGGAGTTGTTTAATTACATAATTTCTTAAAAAATTGTTGTTTCATAAAACAATTTTATACTCAAAAATTAGATATTTATTCTTATATTTTAGTTTAAAGGTTCGAACCCTTGCACGATCATCTTGACTCTCTTGTTGTCCCACCAACCAAGCTTCGCTACCAATGAATGGTCTTTCTATCTCTCTCCTCTCTTTCTCCTCTTTTCTTTCTTCTTCTTCTTGTTCTTCACAGACCCTAAAATACTTCTTTTTTTTCCTTTCACAATAAATTTCTTTTTGTCTCTTTTTTTTTTTCCCTCTATTCCCCATAAACTTTTTCTCTTCTATGGATTCTTACCTTTATTTTTTACTAAGGTCTAATCCTTTTACTAACAAAACCCTAATCCTCTTTGTCTCTTTGGAAAAGACTTGGGCATTGATGCCTCATGAAGTATCAGGTTTGAGGATCGATTCCTCTTAGGTGCAAACAATTCCATAGGGGTCACGCCCAAGGACATAGTCTAAGCTTTACCCGATCCATGTGGAGGGGTAGCTTTGCACTGGACCTGTGATTAGTCGGGACAAAGCCCCAAACACCCTGGTTATCTAAGCAAAAAAAAGTTGACATAGGAGGTATAACCAAAAAGGTGGGATATACAAGCAGCAATAGAAGTTTCATTCTGCGCTAGAATGCTAAAAAGCTACTGCCCGCAGGTATCCTTTATGGACTCGGATATTCTATTTTATTAGGCTGGCATAAGATTTAGTTACTTCATTATTTTTTTGAACTAGAAATATTTTCCTCAATACAAAATTCTAAAAAAAGTAGCATCTACATAGGCTTTTAAAAAGCAACAAGAAGCCAAGGAGTCCAGAAAAGGAAGGTATGAATGACAAGGAAGGTGAACTTCTAATGAAATAACATGGCGTGTATCATTTAATTAAAGATAAAAAAAAAAAGGTCATTTCAAAGTACCAAATCTTCTCTTATTTTGTTCAATACCGAGCCACTTTGTAAATGACTATAATTCTCCTATTTTTCTAAAAAATCACCAAGTTTAGCAAAAACCAAGAGATAAACTAAATGTAATTCATAAGTATATCCCGGTCATCCAAACACAGTATCCAGCCATCCAATGTCAACCTTTATGTTAACCTTTAACACAATAATCATATCTGTCCGATGCCTTGGCCTTCAAATTCCCATGGATACTACAAATAAAACCACCCGCCACGAAATCCATACAAATGGCATTAATTGCAAATGCAAAAAGTTGATCTAGGATCAATCCTGGCAATTGTTTCTTCTTGTAAAAAATTCTTAATGATGAAAATATGAAGGATGATCATAGATTGTGACTTTCATTATTGGAAATATGAATGCTTGAGTATAACAGTAAGGAATCTAACACCGTTCAGTACAGTCATCAATAGTTCCATTAATTCATCTCTCCTCTGAGCAAATTTTCTCTAAACTTTTGCACAATATGTACAAACTTAAACATACATTCAAGAAATAACTAGGTATAAATTCCATTATAAAACAAAAAAAAAAGTTATGTTGCTAGTTCTGGAATACCTGAAAGGAAAGTCAGTGAAGATTGGCAAGACCAAACATGAAATAATAGTACACTGAGAATGAGTAACATCCATATAATGCCACCGACAAGAACCAAACGAATAAATCCCCTTTTCCAAACAAGCTTTATTGGATAATCTTGAGAAAACCTCACAGGAGAAAAGAAACTACCTTCAGGATCTGCATCAACCACCACATAATTTACTCCTACTATTTGTCCAAATCCAAAAACTCACTCACTCCATATATAAGAACGCACACATGTATGTGTGGCTTACCTTTAGTTTGTTGTTGTTGAAAACAACGGTCTGTCCTACGATTTGCCCGTAAAGATATGGACCGTTGAACTTCATTTTCCATAATCACAGTCTTAGGCTTCTTAGCATTACAATCAAAACATGTACTCTACAAAAGAATGATAAGAATTTGATCCGTGATCTAGATATAGAAGTTGGATGTTTCTTGAAATAATGCTACAGTACAAGAAAAACAGTTTTTTACCACGGTGGAAAATGCTTTCTACCACAGTTTTGAACCGTGGTGGAAACGGCCGTGGTCGTAAGTAGAAGACTTTCTACCACGGTGCAGAACCGTGGTAGAAAAAAGACTTTCTACCATGGAAAGTGTTATATAATTTTTTTTTTTAAAATAGTGTAGCCACTATAAGGCATTTTTTTTCCCTACTACTAGCCTTGCAAGGACCCCAGAAGCAAACCCTAAATAAATAAAAATAGCATCACAACCAGAAAACTTACAGTTCACTTGAACAACGGGCGATCAGTGATGGAAAAGAAGTTGCAAAGATGAAGGCCCCTAAATCAAAATAAAGAATGAACAATTACGAAGAAAAAAAAATTAAAGAAAGAATTTTTTATCCCTCCAAAGAAGATATACTACTGTAGATGAAATTAAGGATATCATAAATGACAAACTGTTTAATGTGATACCATATTAACCACCAACTCTTCCAAAAGCTCAAACCTTTTTGACTAAATGATGCTTAACAATAACATAATGAATATAACCTGCATCTCTAAAGAAACTTTAAAAACAATTGACCAAGGGTCTAAGGTAATCGGGATAGGGAGTAAACTTGGAGAACATTTCGGTTGGACGTGGAACTTGGGGTATTGCTTGCATTTGCTGTTAGTTCTTAGAAGAATTCTTTGAATTGTTCTTTTAATAACAAAAAGTTTACCGTTTTGTTACAGTTCAAACGCATTTTCTATTGTTTAAGTAAAAGTAATGTTTTATCATTTCCGGTTCATTCCTCCCGAACTACTGGTCTTTTTAACATTATTCATACAGATAAGTTGGATCTTTTCTACCTTCTTAAATAAAAGGTAAAAAATTCAAATTCTTGCTTAACAAAAGTAAGCATGTGAATTACTTGCTAGTATAAAAATAAAAATAAAAAATGTTTGAATAATAATATATAATATGTTCTTTCGAATGGGATGTGAGGGGATGATGATATACTATTTTACTTTGTTCACGGGAGATGGAATAATCTTAGTTACAATATGCAGTCATGCAGAAATTTTAAAGAGAGAGAGAGAGAGGAGTTAATTAACTATATTGAAGGGTGTTTGAAGGTAATGTGTGAGTCGGTAATCAAATTCTCAGTTGGCAGACTGTGTTGGCACATTGATTGGATTGGGAAAACATCAGTTCGTTCTATCACATACCACAATAAAAATCAACTAAAAAAACTACAGAGTCCACTAACAAAAATTATAGAGATGTATGGAAGTTTACCTAAGAAACAAACTTTCCAAACAAGATTTTAAGCTCACCAAAATGAAGATGAAGCGCATTCGGTAAGAAACAAAGGAAAGGAAAAAAATATGGATCAGATCCGTTTGCACTAGGGTTCCATAACTAAACAAATATTCTGTTAAATTCTGTATGTCCTTTTGTCGATTTGAACTAAAGATTTCAACTTTGAAACAATATTTCAGAGTAAATCGACAATAGCACATGCGATTTAATCTTCTCATCTTTTTTTTCTCAAACCTAGGGTTTTTACATATGACGAAAATAAGGTGTTGATTTGAACTCATTAATAGAAAATAAACAAAGGTTGAGTGAAAAACAAAGAAAATGAGATGCGATTCAATCTTCAAGAAAGAAAATGAAAAAAAAAAAAAAAAATCTTACCGGAGTATATGGTGCTCGTTAGAGGCCGTCCGCAGCCAGAAATTTCAGTTCTGTTGAAAGAGGCAATATTCAAAATATGAAATCTCTGCAACTGCTGCGATGTAGGGTTTTGTAGCGAGAGAGACTATAAAGTAGAGAAAAAAATGTAAAATCGCCAGAAATTTTGTGCTGATCGAAGACTATCCAAAATTAGGGTTTGTTGTAACTCTGAGTGAGGGTGTTTCTTGCCGTCACAAATTGTAAATCATTCCCCTACATTATCGTGACGGCAAGAAACACCCTCACTCAGAGTTACAACAAACCCTAATTATGGATAGTCTTCGATCAGCACAAAATTTATGACGATTTTACATTTTTTTCTCTACTTTATAGTCTCTCTCACTACAAAATCCTACATCGCAGCAGTTGCAGAGATCTCATATTTTGGATATTGCCTCTTTCGACAGAACTGAAATTTCTGGCTGCGGACGGCCTCTAACGAGCACCATATACTCCGGTAAGATTTTTTTTTTTTCATTTTCTTTGTTTTTCACTCAACCTTTGTTTATTTTCTATTAATATGAGTTCAAATCAACACCTTATTTTCGTCATATGTAAAAACCCTAGGTTTGAGAAAAAAAAGATGAGAAGATTAAATCGCAGATTAAATCGCATGTGCTATTGTCGATTTACTCTGAAATATTGTTTCAAAGTTGAAATCTTTAGTTCAAATCGACAAAAGGGCATACAGAATTTAACAGAATATTTGTTTAGTTATGGAACCCTAGTGCGAACAGATCTGATCCATATTTTTTTCCTTTCCTTTGTTTCTTACAGAATGCGCTTCATCTTCATTTTGGTGAGCTTAAAATCTTGTTTGGAAAGTTTGTTTCTCAGGTAAACTTCCGTACATCTCTATAATTTTTGTTAGTGGACTCCTCTGTAGTTTTTTTAGTTGATTTTTATTGTGGTATGTGATAGAACGAAGTGATGTTTCCCCAATCCAATCAATGTGCCAACACAGTCTGCCAACTGAGAATTCGATTACTGACTCACACATTACCTTCAAACACCCTTCAATATAGTTAATTAACTCCTCTCTCTCTCTCTAGAATTTCTGCATGACTGCATATTGTAACTATTGTTCATGACATTAAAGGAAGGAACTTTGCATTATATTTAAGGAAAAAAAAAAGAAAAGAAAAGAAAAATCAGTACTAAACAAATAAGTAACAATTCATAAAAATATATAAAATTGGGCTACAGACTCCTCAATATTAATAATTGTCTATGAAATCATATATAATATATTCTAAAGGTATGAACAATTTCTTTATATGAAATTTAAAATTAAAAACTGAACTATTACCAAGTAGTGTATATATATATATATTTATGATATTATCACACTCCTCTGTCTCGCTCTCTATCAACAATTCTGCAAGTGTTCATTATATCCCTAGAAGCACATAGCTACTTAACCCTCTCCTTTCTAAAGATCCCAAAAGAAATTGAGGATAGGTATTCAAAATCTTCTTCAAAGACTTCAGTAGTTTTTGTTTTCTTCCCAAAAGGCATAACGCAAGTGTTCATTATATCCCTATAATTTTTTTACTTTTTCATAATATGCCAATGGCAGAGTGAAACAAATAAAAAAAATTACACTGGAATTCTTGGCCTAAGATTATTCCATCTCCCGTGAACAAAGTAAAATAGTATGTCGTCATCCCCTCACATCCCATTCGAAAGAACATATTATATATTATTATTCAAACATTTTTTATTTTTATTTTTATACTAGCAAGTAATTCACATGCTTACTTTTGTTAAGCAAGAATTTGAATTTTTTACCTTTTATTTAAGAAGGTAGAAAAGATCCAACTTATCTATATGAATAATGTTAAAAAGACCAGTAGTTCAGGAGGAATGAACCGGAAATGATAAAACATTACTTTTACTTAAACAATAGAAAATGCGTTTGAACTGTTTTCATATTAGATGATGAAGAAGCGACTATAGCCCTTTCAATTCGATCTATTTTCTCTCTATAAGTATCACTCATTTTCTCCATGACACGATCCATTGTGGAGGCAAATCTCTCTCTCTTTGGTTTCTTACCACGAGGTTCAGGAGAAGGAGTGAACTCATGACGGCCTAACTCAGCAAAATCATCATTAAGGTCAAATGAGGTATGTGTGCCTTCATGGTGTGCAGGGGCTTGGTTGAGAATGGGTGTGTAGAAAGTATGGACATGTGCACCTGTAGCGTATGTGCCTCCAAATATGGTGGAGAGCTTGTCAAAATGATTGCATGGCTTCTTTCGATACTTATCATATTGGGCATTCACCTACAAATTATTAAATTACTATTAATATTAAGTTAAGTATAATTTTTTGTAAAATCAACATACATTTATTTGAATAACTAACCTTGATCAATCTAGTCCATCTTTCATTTTCAACTATAATCATGCCCGTCTCAGCATTGTATCCCACGCCTGTTTCTCCTAACAAACTCACAAAGGCTTTGTAGTCTACCCTCATGTGGTTGAATTTGCTCTTAAGTTGTTTCGGTACATAGTTCCTGCCTGTACGGACCATCATGCCTTTTCGTATATTCTTCCAACCATTTGGACTAAAAGTTGCGTTATTCCGATTACCAGCCTTCACTTCTTCCTCCATACAGATGATGAAAGCTTCAATATGAGAATCATCCCATACTAGTTTTCCATCATCGGTATTGCCTATAAGGTCCTCTATTTCTTCTCCCACCACATTGTCAGCATTGATATCCATCTAATTACATAGTTTTAATAAAATGTGTTAAAAGGGTCATTAACAACTGTAATCTTATTTGTAACATCGTCTAGTTTCAAAAGGGTCATTAACAACTGTAAATCCCATCTAGTTTCAAAAGGTTGCATTATGCATAATACACAACACGTGATGGAAATGACCATTTAATTGCCAAATCTTGTTTAGTTAAACAAAATATTCCATGTACATATGCATCAAGTTAATGTCGACTAAATTTCAACACCAATCCAAAGTTTACTTAGTATTGTTGCTTGAATGATACATTTTTTAACAACTCTCACCATATTATTAATGAAGTCTGATCCAAGAGCTACCTACAACCAAGATGTTCAAGCTGTCTGATTTTCCTTCAAAATCTTTATCCATCCTTTAAAAAATATAACTATTTGAGACAACACTAGAAGTAGACTGTCTACGTAAATATATACATACATCTTATTCAGTAAGCTGTATAGGCAAATTTCTTGCAAGTACAACCCCATTTCAGAAGAAGTTTACATTTTATCTACCGGATCATTGAACAACTCAATTTAAATTAACAACTCAATTTAAATTAACAACTTTAGCGAGCACTAGTTAAACTTCTTAATTTAAATAATATTAAATCATTGAATAACTTAATTTAAATTGTACCCTAGTAATAACTTTTTCCAAATAATTTAACTGTAATGTGAATTTAACACAAAAATTTGTTTAATGTCGTATCTTTAAAGACCATTATAAGAACTGAAGCTAAAGATCAAACTACAAAGGAGTGAGAATGCGATAATAAAATGCAGGGTGCAATCTGCCAAGCGTTTTCAAATGTGGCCTAAAATTTATTTCCTTTCCGTATATATTTTTTCTGTTCTGTTCATATATATACATATTGAATCAAAAATAGCATTCTCTCCTCCCCCAAATGTCAAAATTACAAGGAGTAACTATTACCACATCTACCCCATTTCATATACAGTCCAAACAATCCTCTACTTGCTACTTTTTCTTGATTGAAAACTAAAAATGAGAGACTTCTACAACGGGATTTCCAGCATTCCTGAAGCATTACTGTAATATTTTTCACGATTTTAGTTTATTTATATCATATTACTTGTCATTAACATTTTCTAATCACAAATAATAAAAATAAATTAAAACCACATTTCAACAGAGCATGATGATACACAATGCAAATGATTTGACCTTGCCGCCACCACCACCACCCAATACATCTAATATTCCGGGCAGAGCTACTAAAGGTCTTCATAAATAACATATATATTTTTCAAGCAAACAAAAAATTCACTCACTTGGTGTCGACGATGAACGTAAATAGACCGAGAATCGCCTGTGAATCCGAGAGTGCAGAGAGCAGCGGCGAAGCTTGGGTTCGCCGGAAAACGCAGAGGTCACACGGGAAGTTTCTCTTCAGATCTGCATACACAGTGGAACACCGAGAAGCCCGACCTTCATTATACAAAACATGTTTTAGACAGAACACAACGACCCTATTTATGAAGAAGAAGCAGAGCAACTCACCGGTGAGAACAAGACAATCTCGGGAAGCTTTGTATTTCGTTCAATGGTGTCGATTTCAACCCTAGGTCTCGGAAAGCTTCAGACACAAAAGGGTACACTGTGAATCGCCTCTGTGAATCGTCTAGAGAGAACCCTAGAAATGTTCCACCGATTCTTTAAATATGTGTTCTCATAATGCTCCAACTCTGGGCTGTGGTTCTCTTTTCTGCAGTGAATAGTGGGCCGGCTTTATTTTGGGTACACTTTGGAACACGAATTTTTAGTTCCGGAAATTGGCTCATTCTTGCAAATTGTTATTGCACTGTTGGACACAATACAGCCCATGCCAAACAAGTTGGTGTCTTCAATAGTGTCCATTTGCACTGAGAAGGGGCACAGAACAAGATAGAGCATCCCCAAACAGGCGCTAAAGTACTAGTAACAACAATGTTATATACTCCGTTATTTTTTTTTTTCACAATATATGTTGAATTATATGTTTGGCATATGCTTTGTTCAGGCCTCATAAAAAATAAAAATTGAAAGCACGTTTTGAACAATATTTTAGGCCTTTTGTTTTTGGTCTGTGTTGGAATACTGTTATGATTTTGAGTCATGAATAACTGTCAAAACAAGAAAAAACAACTTTTTAATGTTTTAGTTTTGGTTACTATTCACGAAATGTTTTAGCACTGTGTAAAATAAAATAAGGCCATACCAAACATTTTTTGTTGTCAAAATCTACATTGTAGCGGCCCAAAAAAAAAAACAGCAAAAACAAAACGCATGCAAGAAACAAAATTTCTTGTGATAAATAAGAAAAAATAAATTATCCTCAAATTTTTTTAGAGGAAAAATATTTTGAAAGAAAAAATTAAAAAAACTAAAAAATATTACTTTTAAAAATGAGAATTCTAGACTTATAATACGGAGTATTATTTTAGAACTAAGTAGCATTTTGTTTTTGCGTTTTTATTTTAATTTGAAAAAAAAAAAAAATTTGTCTTGTAGTGTGGTATTTTAAATAGTAAATGAAAACATATTTGGTAATATCTATTTATTACAAAAATGTTGAAAACAAAAATATAACAAGTGTTTGATAAAAAAAGTGTTGTAAATTTTAAAAATATAATGGATTGTTTAAAAAGTCATTTAAGAGCTTAAAAAAATAAATAAATAAATAATAAAAAGAATTGGGTACTTTTTATTGCCATAATACCCGCTATTACAGTACGAAAACATGTTAAAATATCAAATAGGTATTTCGACTTTTAGTTACTATTTATGAGATGTTTCGATACAAAACAAAATACTTTCTATCAATTTTTTTTTTTTAACACTTTTACAATACCGGACAAAATAAAAACACCACAAATAAAATGGAGGAGATGGTAACTGATAGTAGGGAAGGGAAAGGCTGTTAATGCAAGTCTGAATTTGGGGAAGCTAGTGTGATTTTGGGGCTAGGAAGATACAATAGTCATTTAATAGTCCCTTAATTTTTTATTGTCCTATGAAAAGTATTTTTATAAGGGTAAGACGTAATAAATAATACACTAATAATAATAATAATAATAAATAATTTAGTAATTGTTGGAGTGGCTCACAACTAAGTCACGTGTCAAAAAATTAGCAAAAGGTAAGCAATTTGTTCTAGTACTCCTTGAAACTAATTTAAATTCACTGAAAGACTTGAAAGGCCTCGCCATCGAACAAACATACCCTAACATTGCGCTAGGTCATTTAAAGCCTCGAATGTTTCTCACCAACGAGCAATCGAACCCTAGCGTCGCACTAGGTCATTTAAAGCCTCGAATGGTTCTCATCAACGAGCAATCGAACCCTAGCGTTGCGCTGGGTCATTAAAAGTCTCGAATGGTTCTCACCAACGAGCAATCGAACCCTAAGCATTGCGCTGGGTCATTATAAACCTCGAATGGTTCTCACCAACTAGTAATCAAACCCTAGCATTGCGCTGGGTCATCAAGAGCCTCGGATGGTTCTCACCAACTAGTAATCAAACCCTAGCATTGCGCTGGGTCATTAAGAGCCTCGGATGGTTCTCACCAACTAGTAATCAAACCCTAGCGTTGCGCTGGGTCATTAAGAGCCTCGGATGGTTCTCACCAACTAATAATCAAACCCTAGCGTTGCGCTGGGTCATTAAGAGCCTCGGATGGTTCTCACCAACGAGCAATTAAACCCTAGCGTTGCGCTGGGTCATTAAGAGCCTCGGATGGTTCTCACCAACGAGCAATCAAACCCTAGCGTTGCGCTGGGTCATTAAGAGCTCGGATGGTTCTCACCAACGAGCAATCAAACCCTAGCATTGCGCTGGGTCATTAAGAGCCTCGGATGGTTCTCACCAACGAGCAATCAAACCCTAGCGTTGCGCTGTGTCATTTATGCTCCGTTTGGTTGGAGGGATGGACAAATGGATGGAAAGGAGAGGGGGAGGGATGTATGAGTCATCCCTAAAGAAGGGAAAGTGTCTCCTTCATTTTTTGTTTGGTTGAATGGAAGAGACGACAGAAAGGATTGATGGAGTACTAGTTGTTTTTGTTTGGTTAGAAGGAATAAAATGATAGTTTTTATATATTTTTTTACTAATATACCCTTACTATATAAAGTTATAAAATTAATTAGTTTAAAATTATTTAATAATATTAAGCTCTACTAACAAGTTGTCTAAAATGAATGTTTTATACTTACATACCAAACAAATTTTTTTTTTTTTTTTTAAATGAATGTTTTTTTTTTTTACATACCAAACAATTAATTAATTTAAATTTATTTAATAATCACTTTAGTTGTTTAACACAACAGGGTTTTAACAAATTTTTAGGAAGGAAAGAAATGGAAATTATAACAAATTTTGGTAGTTATCCTTTTTTCTCTCCACTCTTCCCCCCAAATTTGGGCGGATAGGAAAATGTATAGCAAGGAGGGATGAAGCATCCCTCCTTGCTTCCTCCTTCTCTTTCCTTCCCTTCAACCAAACATGAAAACATTCATCCATCCCTCCTCCTATCTATCCTTCCCCAGTCCATCCCTCCAACCAAACATAGCATTAAAAAAAACCTCGAATGGTTCTCACCCACGAGTAATCAAACACTAATGTTGCGCTAGGCCACTTAAAACTTCGAATGACCCCATCATCAAGTCAACCAAACATCGATACTATTCTACACCTCCAAGGACTTCAAGAGTCCTTGATGGCCAAAATACCACATCATGCAGTACCATTGGTGTGTTACGGGACCAACGTTTGAAAAATGTGCTAAGATGAGAGTGACCAAGTTTTACATTTATAATTGTCACTACTACCTCTAACTATAAAATATAGATAGGGCAAGTAGAGATCGTCCCAAGGGATTAGTGGGTCGTATAAGGTTGTGGAATCGAGATTAGGGTTAGTAGGCCGAGTGATCAAAAGACTAGTTGGGGATTGAATTATACTAAGATGCAATTTAAACTAAAGTAAGCAATTAAATGCAATAGAGAGAGAATAAAAGATAGAGAGAGATCTTGGGGTTTAGAGGTCACCACTAAGCATAGATTTTCTACAAACTTAATGAATGATTAATGAGGGGGGAAACATGTATTACAACAATAGTGTGTGTGTGTGTGGTTGTTTCAACAAGCATGGATGACCAATTAAGCATATATTGTCTAAGCAACAAAGTGAAAAGCACAATATATCAAACTAAGCCTTTAATCCTTTCTTTAAGCTCACAATCCAAACACATCACAAGGTTAGAGACATATGCTTCTTGTTTTCACAAGTATGGAAAGTATGGAACATCAAACAACAAGCATGGGTTGTTCTCCCATTTAACATCTAAACTACAATTACACTACATCCAAGCTAATGACATGAAATTAAACTAATTAAACTAAGAGAGAGGCATAATCCATCAAGAAATGAGTATGAACCATCAAATAAACCACAAGAGCATTCTATTAAGCACTATATTTTGACAATCTCTAGATCCATAGCATCAACATACATAGACATGCATCAATAACACAAAATCTAGAGACAAACTCATGAACATCTATTATAGCATACATAGACATATTGATAGAATGAAATGATCAATTGGAAGTATTAAACCACACAAATCATTGAATAAACAAGATCTATGTATATAAAAATGTCAAAACATGAATCACAATACAAATCCCCTCAAAAATACATAAATCAAGATGTAAAAAGCATGCTTAGGGCTAACTCTAGCCCCAAGAGGATGTCTGGCCACTCATGGATGGTGTCCTCTAACCCTCAAGGGCTAACTCTATGGAAGAAATTGCTCCTCTTCTTGGTAGATGGAAGATCTCCAAGCTTGTGTCTCTAGCCTCCTCCTTTCTTTTCTTCCTTACTAAGAATATGGAAATTGTATCAAAAGTCTTTCTATCTAGCCCCCTCAAAAAGGTGCCTCTTATTCTTTATATAGGTAGGTTAAAATGTCACCCTAATGGTCTAGGCTCGCACTCCAACATTCCTCCAACGATTGGCTGTAATACCCCTAATTTAACAAGGATAGTTCTGGAATTTATTTAATTATTTAAATTGTGTTTTTATTTATTTAGTTGTGAATTTGTTGATTACGTGTGACTTTATTTGTTTTTGTTTATTTCGTGGTGGTTTGTGAATTAATTAATTAGTTTTTATTTATTTCGTGGTGGTTTGTAAATTAATTAATTCGTTTTTATTTATTTAGTGATGGTTTGTGAATTAATTAATTAGTTATTAAATTGTATTTTATTTTTTTTCTATTTTTCGTTAATTGAACTTAGGGTTTTGTTTTATTTTTCTTTAGCCGACTTAGTTGCCTGTCTAGTATTAGGACTAGAATTAGGGTAACCTTAATCCTATAAATATATACATTAAGGTTTACCTAGGGTTTTAGAACTTAAACACGTCGGTGGAGGCAGAGAGAGAGAACAGAGGAAGGCTTACAGTAGTCGGAGTTCGCCGGAGAATTTAGGAAGCAACGGTGCAAGGTTTCAAACTGAGACCTAAAGGCAAGTTCTAATCCTCACTCCTTCCTGTTGCCTCGTGTTCTTTGCATGTCTAACACAACTCCAGGGAACTGTTAAGGATTAAAATTAAACTGGATTTCTTGTACCTCTGTTATTTTAAAACTGATTGTAGTTGAATCGTGTATTGTTTGTTTTAATTTCTTCCTTGTGTAACCTCTGTTTAATTCGTGTAAATTGATGAGTAATGATTTTAATTAGTTCTATAACATATTTGGAAGCACTAGAATTAATTTAGG